TTTGCACACGAGTCATAAATGACACCACGAGCCTACTCCAACTTCCAGAAATCCAATTCGACCCCGATATCAAAATTTTCACTGCTGGCCAAAACGCAAATTGAAGCCTAATTCTACCACGGACCTCTAAGTCACATTCAACCACTGATTTAATTAAGCAAGAGAGAGAGGGAATACTTTGCTGAAAATGGTGAATCTATTCTGATTTAGTGGTGAAAGAGAGTTGAAATTTTGTCCAAGACGGAAAAAGAGTAGGAAGAAGACAAGGGTGGTGGCTAGTGAGGAGTATGAGAAGGGGAAACCCTAACAAATCTTAGTATGATGAGGTTTAAATCACATGGAAGGGGGACCATTTGATCATCCTGATTATAATCGTAAGGCTGAGATTAGAGCTTCTGGACGGTTCTTTTAGATGGGCTAGGCGGTTTGGGATCCATTTGGGATTCGAAGAAAATTTGAGATATTATTCGTTTGGGCTCATTTAAATTAATCTTTGAGACTACATGGACTAATAAATTGGCCACGGAATTGGTCTGAATTTTATGGCCTTTTCCTTCTTCAAATTAATTTCGTTTGGGCTCCCTTGTCTTAATAATTTGGACTCGACAAAAAATACTTTGAGCTTATATAATATTACATATTAAAAAATAAGTGGTTAAATTCAATAATAGTCATGATAATATCAATAATCATGCTAGTTGTACTAATAATGACATAATAATTTTTGTAATAATAGTATTATCTTCAATAATTATAATTATAATAAATAGTAGTAATAATAGTAATAAATAACTAAAAATGGAGCACTAGATTATTAATGACTAGGAAGCGCCAGAAAATTAATTAGAAGAAAGGTAGGACAAAATTGGGTATCAACACTCGTCACCAACCTTTGGTAAGTTGCCCCTGCGGTTTTCAGCCCGAAGGGCATGACCCTGTAGCAGTACGTCCCCTGATAGGTGACGAAAGTGATTTTCTCATGATCCTCTTCTTCTATGAGGATTTGATATAGCCCGAATAGGCGTCCAAGAAGCTATTCATGTCCATCCCTTGCGTCGATGAGTTGGTCGATATGGGGTAACGTAAACGAATCCTTGGGGCATGCTTTGTTCAAATCTGTGAAATCTACGCACATCTTCCATTTCCCATTCTTCTTTTTCACCATGCCCACGTTGGCGACCCTCTAGGAATATTTTGATTCCCTAGCGGAGCCATTTTCCAATAGTTTTTCTACCTCTTTGTGTACTGCATCATTGATCACGGAATTAAACTTACGCCTGACCTACCTCACTGAATGGGTTGATGTTCAGCTTGTGCGTGGCGATTTTCTTGATACCCGGCATATCTGGATGGTTGAAAGCAAACAAGTCCACCTTAGTAGTTAAGAATTGATGGAATTTACCTGGTTCCTGAAATTTGCAGCCAATGTAAGCTTTCTTGCATGGGGTCGAGGTCTTCTATGGTCGATCCCACAGCTTCAACCATATAGGGGTCTCTGATGACGTCCCCTCTACCGTCACATATCGACCTCGACCATGTTGATTGCTATGCCTCTTTTTCTTTATCCTCAATTTGTGGAGTGATCGTGCAGTCTAGGGCGATGCGGTAGAATTCTCGGGATGTGCATTGTTCCCCTCGTATGCCGAATATTCCCCATGGAGTTGGGAATTTGATGACTTGGTATAAGCTGGAAGGGATGGTTCTCATGGTGTGTATTCATGGTCGCCCTATTATGGCGTTGTACTATGTGTCTTGGTCCATGATGTGGAACGTGCTTTCTAGAGTGACGCCACCGGCCAGGACGGGGAGTGTGATTTTACTAGATGGTCGCTCAACTTCATTGTTAAAACCAGTTAGCATGATGCAACGCGGCACTATCTTATCCTCGAGTTTTATTTGTGCAACTACTCGATGGTGGATAATGTACGCGCCGCTCCCATCGTCTACCATAATGCATCGCATATCGATATCAAAAATTCGTAAAGTGATAACAAGGGCATCATAGTGAGGGAAAACCAAACCTTTGGTATCTGACTTATCGAAGATGATACTTTCTTCGAGTTCATCATACCGTTCGTGGGTGATTGGCCGTTTGAGCATGTGGGTTGTGGTGAACTTCCATTGTTGATGGAAGCATCGTCACCACCGTTGATGATCATGTGGACGGTGCGGGTTGGCGAGGGCAGTTTCGGCGGTCCTTGATGTTCTTCATGTCCTCTAGCAAGTTGGTCCTTCCCCGGTCTCTCAGCAACTCTTTGAGGTGTCCCTATCGTAGCATGTTTATGACCTCCTATCTAAGGGCGATACAATCGTCGGTCTTGTGCCCTCGTTCTTGGTGGAACTCGTAAAGGGCGTCCGATTTTCTGGTACTCGGGTCTGACCTCATCTTTTGTGGCCACTTCACCTTTGGTCCGAGCTTCTCCAAGGCATAGACTGTTTCTGCAGGTGACACGCAAAAATTGTGAGCGGATAATAAACGGGGCATACCTCTTTTGTTCCGGTGAGTCCCTGTCCTTGATCTGGGTGGGCCTTTTTCGGGGTAGGGGGAGGACGCAACGGCCGCTCTAACATATGGTAGATGTCGTTCCCTATTGGGTCATGGAGCTACAAGGTCCCTTCTGGTATCATTTCTACGATCTTTGTTGGATTCGGCCTGTACCGAGGTCAATCGATGAGTTGGTCCATTGAGGTCGTCCTCGTTAGCTCGAACCTCGACACAATACGCGTTGTGTATTTCATCCCAGGTAGTTGGGGGATGGTTCATCGGCCGACTTAATAAATTTTTTGTCGCCTTCGAACCATTCCTGCTCAACGCGTTCTGAAAGGTTATGACCGTCATCCCTTCCGATACGTTCGTCAAGGTCATCCTTACTCGGTTGAACCGGGCGAGAAAGTCCCTCAATCCCTCTCCCGGAGACTGTTTATTAGCAAATATGTCATTTACTCTCGCCTCGGCCTTCTTGGCCCCAGCATGGGTCGTTACAAACTTGTCGGTCATCTCTTCGAAAGTTTCAATGGAACGCGCAGGTATTTGTGAATACCATGTTAACGCTCCTCCTATAAGGGTTTTACCGAATTTCTTCAACAAAATGGAAGACACTTGTTCTTTGGCGAGGTCATTGCCTTTCACGGCAGCAACGTAGTGAGTCACCTTCAGGGTCGTGCCATCATATATCCTGAGGTAAGGCGGCATTTTAAAAGTTTTTGGTATGGCATGTGGGGCGGCGTCATCACTGTACGGCTGCTCAACGAATCGGCTGGCATCTCTTTTTGGCAAGAGCTTAAGGGTTGGTATCTTATCGACCCTTTCTTAGTGTTCTCTATTTGGTCCCAGAGTGCTTTGTTCTCATTCTCCATTTCCTCCATCCTTTTCAGAATGGCTGCAAGAGTGTCGTCACCTGCATTATTAATGACATTGTGAGTAATGCCTGTCATTGAGGGAGGAGGAAATTGGTTATGCTGCTCGTCTGCTAGTTGTATGACGCAAGTCCTTACATTTTCTGTAGCCGTGTCCCGAGCGGGCTTATGGAAGACGCTTGTTAGCGTATCAATTAGCCAAGCTTCAAGGAGCTTTTTTACGGCTAGGGGCGTCTCCTCCGCCACAGATGTGGAGGCTCCTTTACCAAGAGATTTTGTAATGCTGCAGCGAGGAGGGGTGACCCATCTCACTTAGGGGAGGCATTGGGCATTGCTTCTTCATCCGTTGTTTCACAGTTCTCATTGATGACGTTCATGAGGTTGGTTGGCAGGTCACTTATTATTCTTGTCCTTTCTTCTCTGTTACCTGCGATATTGGATTTGTGCATACAAAGAAAGGAGATTTTGTTCTTGCTCTTCTTCTTTTTTACGTTAGCGATCCGTGTAAGTTATAGATCTAGAGGAAACTAAAAATTTAACTAGGAAATCCCCACAGACACCGCCAAATTGTTTGACCAAAAAATATAACTTTCAGCTAAAATAGTTGAGTTTATATAATAATGGGTTAAACTTAGTTAACAATAATATCTCTAGATGTGAGCTCCGAAAACGTGAATAATGTTAGACAGATCTGATGATGGATTGATAACAACATGCATTAACTGTCCAAAAAGTATGAGCAATAATGGAGGAAGAACTAGCAATAAATAACAATAAATGACATTTAAGTAAATAGGAGAAGTAGTTCACCCAATAAAGGATGAACTAGATGATTGTCCCTCCTGACAATGATGAATGACAGACAAATCCTAGAATGTTCGAATTATTCTCGGATCTGATGGAAAAGTGTGGAATAATATGAATAATAATCTTGATGAAAATGTAGTGTTTGTATCTTTATAAGAGAGAGAATCTTTTATCAAAAGTGTGTTCTTATTAAATGAATGTCATGTACCCTCATTCATTGTCTTTTTTTCCTATTTGTATGGGACATATCCCTAATAAACTCTAATAGTACAAGTGTAGAGAATATCCACTAAAATATTCTCTTTAATATCCTATTCTAAAAATTACCGTTACAGCTATATCTGCGGTGTTCGACCTCGACCATTGCTGACATCTCGACCACAAGTCTCGCTGCTTCCTGGTCGACCTCGACTTACTCTTTCCTCAATGCTACCTTGCCCTAATTATTCTGGGGCAGATTCCGACCTATACAAGGGCCTCAAGTATTTCTGAGGCCTAAAGCAATGATTTTAGTGGCTTTGGGTGGAGCTGCCCAGGAGGTGAGATTAGGGGTGAGGCAGGTTAAAATTTTGTAGGTTAAGATAAAATTCGGACCGCACAGCTTCCCATCCCTAACCGTAATTTCATTGACTCTCAATGAATACTTACGTGGTCTAGTAAGCATTGATGATGCTTTAAGCAATAATTAGTAGGCAAAGCAGTGGGGAGGCATTACTAAGAAAATGCAATGCAGTAATGCTAACAGAAACGTAAGTCGTGAGAAGCATAACTAGTTATAAGCATGTCAACCGGGTCAACAGTCAACTTGTACCAAACATCTCCCGAAAATAAACCTATCTTCCCATAAACTAGCACAATCTCAAAATTAACCAAAACTTCATCAATTCTTCATTCTCAATCAAGCTGTGTTCCATTCCCTTCCTTTCCCTTTTCCCATTTAGCCACCATCTCTAGCAAACTGCTTGTTTCAAAATTCAACATGTCACATCTTTTTTCTTGATTTCTTTCATTTTGCATCAATTAACATATTGCTTATTTATTCTTACGAACTATCCTTTTTTTCTCCTTCTTGAGATCTATTATAGCAAAATGGTGAAGAATCACTTAGATAAAAATGGCAGCTTTACAGGCAGCCCAAAACCACCTCGTTCGGCCACGTCCACTGAGGCGTCATGCGCTGATCAACATTCCAGAAATAGCAGCCAGGAAGAGTTAGATCATTCATTGAACACTCATATTGAAGACATTAAGAAATTATCCGAAGATATTGATCGATTCGTGGAATCTCTTTCCATGTGCCATGATAAATCAAATCCCCCTCAAGTCCCTGATTCGGTCGAGACCTTTTCCAAAATGGTCGAGTCCAGGATCAAAAAGTATAACTCTTGCGAAAATGCCACCAGATTTTGCAAGATGGCAGAGGAGGACACTTGTTTTATAGAAGCAGTGACAATGTTATCCAAATTAACAAATTCCTTGAGTGAATTTCCATCAGGTTCAATGACCACGAGGTCGTTGAACCTAACGAGCATGGTCTTGCAACGTGCCATGACTTTCATGGAAGAAGAATTGAGAAACTTATTAGAAGATTCTAGAGTGTCTTCCAATTCTAGAGTTCTTAAAAATTCGTCATTCAATGCGAACAATCTATTAGACGGGGAGCAATGTGTTTTGACACTTTCAGAATCCAGTGGAGAAGAGGAATATCCGTCGTATTCTCCAGATGTATTGACAAGAATGAATCGAATTGCCTCAGCCATGATCTTGGCTGGCTATGAAACAGAATGTTGTCAAGTGTATTCGATTTCGAGAAGAAATGCATTCAGTGAACAAATGAAAAAGCTCGAATTCGAGAGGATAAACATGGAGGATGTTCAAAGAATGCCATGGGATTCTCTAGAAGGAGAGATTACAAGGTGGATCAGAGTTGTAAAAAGTTGCTCGACAACTCTGTTCCCTGGCGAAAAGAGACTCGGAGACTCTGTTTTCTCCGATTCTCCTATGATTTCCCGAAGCTTATTTAGCAACCTGGCGCGCGCCATTGTGATTCAGCTTCTCGACTTTGCTGAGGCCGTCTCAATGACCAAACGCTCAGCCGAGAAGCTGTTCAAATATCTAGACATGTATGAAGCTATACGTGATCTTATCCCAACGATCAACGAGTCGTGTTCCAACGAATGTGAGAATGAATTGAAGTCCGAGATTTCAGCTACCGGAGACAGGATAGGGGAGTCAGCTGTAAGCATATTCTGTGATCTCGAAAATTCCATTAAAAATGATGTGGCGAGGACACCAGTCCCGGGTGGGGCAGTGCACCCGTTAACGCGTTACGTTATGAATTATCTAAAATATGCATGTGAGTACAAAGATACCCTAGAGCATATTTTCCAGCAACATGTAAAATTGGAGGAATCCAATTCCCCTGCCAAATTGAAACCAACATTGGAGGTAGAAACAGAGAGCGAAAGCCCCCACGGTTCTGAAACAGTAGCTGGGACAACGCCGTTCTCAATACAGTTAGTCACAATAATGGACCTTTTGGATACAAATCTTGAAGCTAAATCAAACCTGTACAGAGACCCTGCGTTGCGCCACATTTTCTTAATGAACAATGGTAGGTATATCTTACAAAAAGTTAAAGGGTCCGCGGAGATACACCAAGTGATGGGCGACACGTGGTGTAGGAGAAGATCAACGATCGTGAGACAATACCACAAGAATTACCAAAGGGAAACATGGGGTAAGGTACTCCAAATCCTAAGCCATGACGGAATGCAAGTCCATGGGAAAGTAGTGAAGACGACAGTGAAAGAAAGGTTCAAGAATTTCAATACAATGTTTGATGAAATACACAGGAGTCAAAGCAGTTGGGTTGTGAGTGACGAGCAGCTTCAATCAGAGCTTCGTGTTTCGATATCAGCTTTGGTAATTCCAGCTTATAGGTCATTTTTTGGGAGGTTTAGACAGTATTTGGACAGCGGAAAGCAAGCAGAAAAGTATGTAAAGTACCAGCCAGAGGACATTGAAACATTGATTGATGGACTATTTGATGGTAATTCTGCATCAATGGCCAGGAGGAAGACATAGCTATCGTTATTCATGCTAAAGAAAGACTCCGAGAATTTTTGTATAACATATTATTATTGTATTTCATTTCCCTCTTTTTATATTTCAACCTTCTCAACTTTTCCTTTTATACATGCGTAACTGGACTTGTATTAGACTCTTTTTTCTGTACCTAGTTTTATACCTTCTGTAATTGATCCTGTTAAATTTATTTTTGGTAAATATCTAGTGATCAACTGTTTACAGTCCTATCAGTTCAACAAAATTAAACTAGTCATACATCTTAAATTTGACTTTACAGGCTTAATTTTTCATTTTCTGAATTTGGAAATTTAGCTGTTGGGCAGGTTTTTTGTCTTTTGAGGGTGAACGAGTTTCCTGGGAGTGAATACATTTTTTGCCTTTTCCCTTAATTTCCAGTTTCTTTGTCGTTTGCCATCTTCTCCAGTTCTCCTATTTGAAAATGAGTTGGACTCATGAGGCCGACCCTCCTAGCTCGCTGGTCCGGTAAGGTTGGGCTAAAAATGTTAAGGCCCATTTAAAATAAAGGCTTAATAATCCAGAAGTGCACGGTTAGCCACTAATAACACATGTATTTACTTTTAAGCCATTGTTTAAAATATTTTTAGTCTTTAGCCGCTGCTTTAATAAACTTTAACTGTCCGGATGAAAATACCCTTCTGCTCATGTCCTTAACTTTTGAACTTAACTTCAGGACTTCAGGACTACATGCCCTTAACTTTTGAACTTGTAACTGTAAGTTCAGGACCAAGTGTCCTTAACTTTTGAGCTTGTTAGTCTAATTCAGGACCTATTGTCCTTAACTTTTGGGCTTCTTAGCCTAAGTTCAGGACCTATTATCCTTAACTTTTGAACTTGTAACTGTAAGTTCAGGACCTATTGTCCTTAACTTTTGAGCTTGTTAGTCTAAGTTCAGGACCAAGTGTCCTTAACTTTTGAACTTGTAATTCTAAGTTCAAGGGTGTTGGTTATGTCTATGGCGGTTATCTCCAATTCCTTCGCTAGCTGAAATGGACTACAAAAGGTTTTCCTTTTTTGTTTCTGTTTAATATCGTTTTGTTTTTTCGTGAACGTATATTGATGTGGAGAATAGTAGTTTACAAATATGTTTGTAGTTCTAACTGAGTATTTTGATGTGGGGTTCACTTTTCTGGAAAAAGAAAATGCAAGTTTTATTATTTGTATTGCGTTTCTTCTGAAAACAATAAACTACGGCGGTACACTTCTTCTCCCTAACATGAAAGAGATAGAAGAAAGGGTAATACAGTCTTTTCATATTAATTTTAATAGACTAGTGGTTACTATTATTAAGCATTGAAAATGCTGGATAAAAAATAAATATCACTTTAAAAAGTGACTACCCCACACAATTTTTACGCTCCAGTCAGCTTGCTGGTTTCATGGGGCTGAGGTGGCCTAAGTCCAAACATCAGGAAATTACATCAATGACATTGAAAATTGATGGTCTTGATTTTTTTTATCCCAGTTTGTCTATGAGCAGACTTTTAAAGGTTAAAAATCAAAAGTGTTGCCCATGGGTAGTGGTGCAAAATTGATAAAAGAACACAGTTATCCATTAATATTATCCATTAAAAAATGAGTTGGATAATAAACTTTTTAAAAATGGGTTAAATACGGATAAGAGTCATATTATCCACTTAGAAAATGGATAATCAGTGAATAATCAATGAATTACTTATGTGTTTAACTTGTACATTTGTAAACCCCAAATTGGGAGTTCCTCGAGCTTGGGAGACTAGGAATTCTCCCAATAGTGATCATATTTCAAAAGTCATGGATAATATAGATATCCATATTATCCGCCGGTTAACTTATTTTTTATCCTTATTAAATATAGTTCGGATCGGATAATTTGTCCATTTTTGACATGTCCCATATCCGACCAGACCCGCCCATTTGCCATCCTACTCATGCGTCAAGCGAGGGATAACACTTGTTAAACTTGACGTTCGGCAAACGGGGTCAGAAAATTAATAGTGGTACCGAGGTATCCTATTTGTGCAAATCATTAAAATAATCATAGATTATTAATCAACTTAAAAATAAAATCTTAAATTAAACTAAAGTGAATTAGAGGAACATAAAATAAATTGTCATTGCATTTAAAGAATAATTTTCTTAAAAAAATAAATAGTTGCAACTTTATTATTTTGGCTAAACCCTTTTTTATTTGGCTAAATGTAATGAAGCTCCAACCAATTTTTTACCGATTTGGCTCGAAAAAAATATACACTTAAAATAAATAGATATTATATCCAAAGAAGAATTTAAAAAATCCAGAGTTGATACTTTATTATTTTGACTAAAACTTATTCTATTTGGCTAAAATGATGCAAAGTTAGGATAAATATGATGCAATATTGAATTTTATTGAGGATTTTTCATAAAACACTATAGTTTAGAGCCTTGTGATTATAATTTGTCTAATTACCATTCTTAATTATTGTTCAGTTGTTACCAGCTTATATCACTTGTATTCAAACGTGCAATGAATACAATCAAGGCGGATACAGAAATACGAAAAAATAATATGCTCTTTGCTAAGAGTTGAACTCAAGACCTTCACTAACAAAGCAGATGCTCTAACCAACTGAGCTACGAGAGCTTGTTTCTCTCTCATTTCAGTTTAAAACAATTAATCTCTTATTTTACAGATTTACAATAAATTCAAAAATAGCTATGTATGGTAAATTTGTTGAAAGTATTGTCACATAATTTTTCCAATTTTATTTCCAACTAAGAAGAATTTTCTTAAAATTAAGCAAAGTTAGGGTAAGATTTGAATTTTTAATTAACTATTGAAAAGTTATTCCTCTTAAAAGCTACTCCCTCGTCCAAAATAAGTAATTTTTTGTTGTTTTCACACAGATTAAGAAATCCACCTTTTAACATTAATTAGCAATGAAGTTGACCATATTAACCTTTACTATCTCTTCACATAAATACTCCTAACACATACTCCAACACTATTTACTCCAAGGGCAATGTAGGAAAGAAATAATTAATTCATTCTTGAAATCTGGAAAAATCACTTATTTTGGACCACAAAAAAAAGGCCAAAAAATCACTTATTTTGGACCGCAAGGGAGTAATATTCTATTTTCTTAACTCACGCACCTAAAAAATATATATTCATAGTCACATCAGCGCTCATGGAGACATGGAGTAAAGACAATCAAATAGCCAAGTCAGAAGGTAATCAAGAATATAAATAATTAATGCGTAAAATTAATAAGCCGTGTCGAGTTTAAAGGAGTTTTTAAGTATTCTGCCCTAATTCTTTTTGCTTTCTAATAAACTAGCAATTCTGGAACATCAAGTTAATTAGGCGGGCTACACTGTAATAATGAGAAAAGAGTGGAGTAGTATTAAGCAGCCCATATGCCATTGAATGAGTAAACCTATTACAGTAAAAAGATGACGTTACGCGCTTATGCTTGTTGTCTATCACTCATTCTATCTCCTAATTTATGTGTCAATAGTCCAGATTTCGAGAGTTAAAATTTTTATTTTAATCATAAATTCAGACATAAAATTTTTGAAATTCTTTTATTTATAAATTACATATTTAAAAAAGTACGTAAAAATATTATAAATTATATTAAGTAATAATTTAACTAAAACATACAAAAAAATCATGATAAATAAACTTATTTAACTCTGGATATTCGAACCGCCACATAAATTGGAGTATTAGAGTAAAGGTAGGACAAAAAAAGGCATTGAAGTGAAAATAAAAGATGGACAGCCTTGACCCCAACCTTCCGCCGTTATTTCGCCGCATCTCTAAATTCTCCGCTGCCTAATTACTCAAATCAAAGGCCTTGAGTTCGTTCCTTTTATTATTTTTGTCTTCTTATAGGAAATGCCATAACCTGTATTAGTATTCTCTTTTTCTTTCTTATAAAATGTAAGCAAAATAATAAATAAACCTAGCGCCTGTGGCGTTTGGATTATGAAACGGCTTGTTTTTTCTTTTTAATTTACCTTTTCCATTGCATAAGGTGATAATGAAAGAGAAATGGCAACAGGAATTATTGGTATAGTATATAAAACTGCAATAAAATTGAATAGAGCAAGTTTATACTTCTCTAGTTTTTGTCATTACACTTCAGTCCTTACTTTATTAAAAAATTTAATAGGCTAAATTAGGATAAACGTAATATAATCCTACAATATCAATTCATGTGTGCTACATCTAACAATTGTGTCATCCACAACGATTATATATTTTTCTAAGGCAACTTAAGTCCAAATTTAGAAATATAGGGGGAAAAAATAGAAGGTCGAGCGGAAATGTGATGGAGATCGCGGTGTTCACCAACGTTTGAAAATTTTTCAATTTGCTATTTCTGATATTCAATTATTTATTAATGGCGACTGTATGGGTCCAAATTTGGATAACCACGACCACGACCACAGACGAGCACGACTAACGGCGAGGTCATCACAGCTTAACGTGACTCCGATACGAGGCGCTAAGGAGGTTCCTTGGAGGGGGCCCAGGAATATGTTTTGTAGGATCCAGAAGGGGTTTGTCCCTTCTAATATAATGAGGGGAATAACTTTGTAAAGGGGGAGGCTTCTTTTTCTTTTCTCTCTCTCAGTAACATCTCTAAGATATAGCAACAATTGTAATACTTTCCGATAAGCATTTTCTAACATCCAATCACAGATCTTCATGAGATTAAACAATTTTTGTGTGTTCATTACCTATCTTCTTTCGTTCTAAGTGATTATTATTCTTTGCTAAGATTTACCCTTTCATTTTCATTGAATTATTTGTTCAAAAAGGTTGTGATATCTTTTGATAAAAATAATTTGGCGCCGTTTGTGGGGATTTCTATAGCCAAGATTTTAGTTTCGCCTAGATCATCGAAAGATGTAAACACCTGCTCTGAACCTCGCAGAGTTCGGCAATGGCAGGAAAGGGAGAGACAAGATCGAAGGCGATAGTAGACGTCACGAACAACCTGCTAGGCTCCATCAACGAAGCCGGCAGGGAAAATGATGAAAGCATAACGCCAAGTGTTACACTCGAGGGAAATATCGTGCCCACCCCTCATGAAAGCGTGATTATCTCACGCGAGAAGGAAACCTTAACATCCACAGCAGGAGAAGCACCACCGGCTGTGAAGAGACTATTAAAGGAATGGCCGACAAACACCTTGAGCAGCATACTGGACAAACCCAATCAAAGGAATATCGGAGGCTCAATACACGCAGAAACCGCAGTTGTCGCTGATGATCC